ATGACAATGGGAGAGTTCGGACGTATATTATAACATTTTACATTCGTCGCTCCGAGATTATAAAATAGTAAAAGTCATCATAGCTGTCCCGGGACAGACCGACTATATAGTGGGAGGCAAGTTGCAAATTATACAATATATATGACACGTAATGCATGTGTGCAAGTGCGTGGCCAGTTAGCTGTTAACAGATTTGGTAGAAGGCCAAAAATCCACTTACACACTCGCACACACGCGAGGCAGCTCTAGATTTATTCTCTCTTTCTCGCTCTCTTGCTCTATATATATTGTGTATATGTGTGTGTGTGTGTGTGTGTGTGTGCAAGCGCACAGAAAAGAAAGAAAGAAATTGTTAGCGGGGCCAAGGGCACCAGAGATTTTCGACTCGACGCGACCGAACGCGCCCGACTCTTCTCTGGCTGCCCGTTAGAGCTGTGTGCCTTATATCTTATGACCGTTTCGAGCGTAAAGATGACTTTGTTTTTTTGCATAAGCCTATTTTATGGACGTTCGTGCTTATATACAGCGCAGCTGCGAGAGAGCGAACATTTCGCGAACGCGTGAAATCAATTTCAAACGAAAAACTGACGTAAACGTACTTCCGATCGATGATAATTCGAACGAGCCTTGATTAATATAATTTTCTGCGAAGCTATGCTGCTCTTTCGGAGATAAGGAAAATGTGCGCCTGTGATCGCTCAGTATGAAAAGCCCCTTTTTTCAGAGCGATAAACACGACTTTATTTTTCCACTCGTGCGACATAGGTTAAATGTGAATAGGTGCATTATTTATTTATTTTTTTTTTTTGTAAAACATCGACGCAGGCACGAGTGTGTCTTATATTATCGTCACTTAGCTATTTACACTCGTGACTCTGCACGGGAGAAAGAGAGAGGACGACGCGTGCTTTTATGAAAGCTTTGAATGACATCTTATCTTTTCTGTGCAATACGTTAGCTCGCACATACACATACACAAAAGCACAAATAATGCGCAGCACATAATGCACCAGACGCTCGAGTAAAGTCGAGTCGAAAATTATTCGACAATAATTCCGTAAATAAACAATAAAAGAATAATCAATTAATTATCGTCGAGCTCGTGCCCGAGGCGTGCACAGACAATGGCCGCCGTATAATAAGCTCATCGTGCTTATTGTAGCCGAGTAAAGTAGCGAGAGCTCGCAGCGATTATCTAAATATCTATCTAATAATATGTATAATATTTGCTGTATATGAAGACAAGACAAACGCGAAAGTTAAATTGGACTTTCGTGAAAGCGCACATCGGTCATTACGGCAAGGAGTCGTGTGCGAATGTATGTACCCATGCGCATTCGAGAGAGACAGAGAGAATGAAACGGAAAATAAAATTCATAACTACTTGTATTATGCGTACGTACACGTACACACTAACACTAGCAGCTGTAAAAAGTAAAAGTAATTACCGTCGACGAAGACTTTGCCGACTCGAGTACGTCGTCGTCGTTGACTCTCTCAGTGCCATTATTATGCATTCAGTGACACACGCGTATATATACGCACACGCATATACAGTGTAGCATATAAAATAAAAAATAAAAGAAGTAACAGTGCTCGTTAGCATTGGTTAAATTTAATGAGCATCGACGTCAGCTCGAATGACTTTTCCAGAATCCTTCTGGCGCAGCTTGAAAATGCATTTTGGCGCGAATTCGACTAGAGTGTATTATACGGGCGTGCAGGGTTACCCGGCGAATATTTGTTGCGTAGATAGGCATCTTGGATGAAAATAGACTCGTAGAAATTGAATAAATCATAGAAAATTCGCCGATGCAATGCCTGTTATAGTTTTGAGCTGTACAGGAATTATTCGATATGCATTGGCTAAAAGTCAGTAGTTGGTAACGATAACGACCCCAAAAAGTAATAGTGCTTATATATAGTTTTTATTTTTTTCATGGTGACGACGACGAAGACAGTCATAACAAATAAGGAGATGCAGATATTACCTAGCAAATACAACAACCCAGCCTGTCCGTAAAATTTTCATTCTTTGATCAGTCGCCGAGCAAGGATAATTTAAAAATAAGTGTATTTCATCTCATATTTTTATATTTCCAACGATTCTCTAATTCATTTTTATTAAAGAAAATGTGGTTTTATTCAGTAGTAAAAATGGCAGAAAATTGTTCCCAAAAACTACGTAAATTAGACCGATTGGCTTGTTGTACAAAAATCATTTGGTTTGACGTATCAAAAAATTATATTTTTAGAAAGTTTAATTTCTAATGATTTTATAGTACAAAAAAGAATTTTATTGTATTATGATAGATTTGTGCACCCAAATACTTTTAAACTTGAACTGTTTTCAGGGCTAACAGTATTTCATAAACTCACATATTTATTGCTTATAAATTGTTTTATTAATTACATGAAACTTAAAAAATTTGGAGAATGAAGTTTGGAGAATTGGAAATTTGAAGTTTGGAGAATGATAATTTAATGATCCATGATGACAGAGCCTCACTAGCCCATCTGCGGCTGTCAACACATGTGTCATTCGAGAATGAGACAGGTATATTTTAGCACACTACAGTAGCTAGATTTCTCTTGTTTTACAGAAAAAGCATACCCACATTTTCCTTTCGATGTATAACAATTCAGAAAACCAAGTTGCGTGAAAATTCTTGTATATATAATAATTTCAAACATATCTAGCTAATTGCGAGTTTTGCTAGAAAATATTCGTTCGCCATCTATTGGCGATTTATTCATCTAAACGATATTTCAAATTTTTCTATTCAACGTAGAAATTTCTTGTAATGGAAGCTTTATTGCAAAGTCAATATGGTAATATTTGGTATTTGCAAAGAAATATTTCTTAAGAATACATTAAAATGATTCAGAATTAGAGATGGTACATCAGTTACTACGAAACATGATAATTTTTATTAAATATTATTTTTAAATTCGTTATAAATTTATTTTAGTGTCTTTAAAAATTTTTTGCTCAAATTTTAATAACCTTTGAATGAAAAACCAATTTTTTAATTACTTTTGATTATATGGTTAAGTCCACGAACTTATTTTCAATCATTTGGAAATAATTACGATTGGCTAACGAAAATTCGCGGGCTCAATTCTAACAACTAAAAAATTCACTTGTAAAATCGCAATGCACTATTGGCAGCAATGAAGAACAATGTGGCACACCGAGTGATTAAGAGAACTTTTTGGTAGCGAGGGTGTTCGAGTATACACTCGATGACTCGTCGAAAGTGAAAAATTTCACGCTGAGGCCGAGTGTTGTCAACGATGCGGTGACCGAATCCAATATTCTCTCGTTTTTCGACATTGAAATTTTCTGCCCGTGTATAACCACACACACAAAGGCAAAAAGTGAGAGAGAAGAGTCAAGAGCTCAGTGACTCCTTGCTTGACATATCCGTAACGGATGTCGTTTTTTAATAATCGAGCCAGATTAAAAAACCAGTCGTGCTGTTGTTGTGCAGTGTATAGGCGCGTCTGCTTTTTGGAGCCGCGAGCACAATGCCAATATGCGACGACGATGATCAACAAAGGCTCGGTAGTAACACGCCGAGGTTCGCAAATTATATTCGCGTTAAAAATAGCTCCTCGGACAGACGATGAATACAAAGAAACGAACTGAGATAAGTTAAGGCTAAAGAGATGGAGAAAGATATATTGGTTTTGAAATATTCGCGCACGTGCGAAGCGGCTTTACTTCCACGTATATAAGTAGACGAAAGAAAGAGGACTTTTTTCGCATTTTTTGCGTCGTTCCTCGCGTTCAGTACGGGAGAGACGTCTTATCAAAATTGCTCGCGTACATCGACGATACGGCGTTTCGATAGCGATTAAACCTTTTACGAAGAGCACACGATTTCAGCTCGATAAAAGAAGGTAAAAGAAGAAGAAGAAGAAAAAAGGAAGCAACTCAACTACTTTTTTTTCGCTCGTGCTTTCAACGATAATATTCTAATAATCATCGCAGCAAGAGTTGCACATTAACAATGCACACGCGTTAGAGAGAGGGAGAGAGAGAGAGAGAGAGAGAGAGAGAGAGAGAGAGAGAGAGAGAAATGAGAAACTAGTTCAGCAGCTCGGGCTCTTTACACATGCAACGCGCAGAATGGTATGACGGGCTTTTAACGTATATAGTTCATCATTATCGCGGGTACACGGGCAAGCGAGTTTGCTTTCGCTACATTTTATGAATGTAACAACTATGAAAGGACTCCGGTCGTCGCTACTCATCGCCGATGTCTTCTTTAATCTGCCATTTTAAAAGTGTAAACAAATAATCTTTGAGCGCTTGGCTTTCTCTCGCTCTCTCTTGGAATGTGCATACGCGCGCGCGCGAGACTCCGAGTGCTGCTGCACTTATCGATGCAGCAGCAGAATATTATCGAGCTCGGGCGCAGCTCCCCGTCTGCTGCTGCTGCTGCTGCATTCTGAACGCTTATACACATGCGTATAAAGCTCTATTTTCCTTGAAGTACAGTAGCTCAACGGCAGCAGCGTAACCCATTGATATTATATTTGATAAATGAGTGTTGCTGTACGCGCATTGGCTCGGGCTATCAACTCGTGTTTATACTATCGCGAAATAGATATCCCGCCATTCATGAGTCTCTTTCGATTCACGAGTATTGCATACAACGGTATGTATATATAGATGTATACATTGGCCAGTGCGCTGCTCCTCTCACAGCACCTATATAGCGTGATGTACCAGGCACGTTTCGGCGAGAGCGCGCGTATTATATTGTGCAGTGTGCACACACACACACTCATACACGCAGAGACGCACACATGCACACGAAAAACCGCGCCCAACCCTATCGACGACCAAGTCAACTGCAGCAGCAGCAGCAATCCATACTATAACACGCGGCCGCGCACGTCGTCTCTCCTTACCCAGACGTAGTATTATAATACACCTTTCCACCGAAAAAAAAGGAGCGAAATATATCCTAGCAGAACGAAGAACCCACCTCGGTATGCAGTTGGAGGGTGTTCGGTCGACCTCCCACGTAGCGAAGAGCTTCATGGGCACCGGTCGGCTGACGATCTGCTGCGACGTGATCTGCGAGCTGGCATTGTTGTGTTGGTGCTGGTGGTGGCCGCCACCGCCACCTCCTCCGCCACCGCCGCCGCCACCACCACCGGCGCTCATCATGCTGTTCATGCTGTTGAGCTGGAGCGCGTTCGGCCCGGAGCCACCCGACAGGATGAGTCCTAGGCTCGCCGGTCCGCCGCTTCCACCAGTCTTGCGTTCCGCCATTTTTCAACCCAGCCTTGCTTTTTTTCTTGCACTTTTTGTACTTTTCCTCTTGCACAAAATGTGTGTATATCGGCTTATGTACGCATGTGGAACGCACACATGTATAACACACACACACACGAACACACGCTCCACTTGACGCGGTGCGAGAGACGGACTGAGAGAAGTGTATACGTATACGTATACGTTCTCGAGTGCGAGTGTGTAAGTGTTATAGTATACACACCGCGCACAGAGAAACAGACACAGACTACTACGAGTACTTCTCTATATTATGATATACGACACTGAAATAATATACATCAACGGCGCACACGCGCGCGAGCTGAGACTCTCGCACAGGCGGGCGGCAGACGAGTGTGTGCGTATTTTATTATATATGAAAAAAACACGCACAAACTGCAGCGATAGACAGAGAGAGAAATGGAGTGATGCACCACTCGTTTTTTTATACTACTATGCGTACAAGCACAAACACTAATTCACACACAGACACACGAGAGTGAAATTATCACATTAACATAAATGCACAATATGTATGATTACGTTACAAATAAACACTTGCACTGCGAGACACGCACGTCGTGTAACACGCGCTATGTAAATATTTAGGTCCGTGTGTGGTAAACCTACATGTAATCAGCTGGTTTTTGTTATATATATCGCTCGCTCTCACTCACGCACAAATCACGCGTTGCAGTAGCAGCAGTAGCAGCAGCAGCAGCAGCACTTCGTTCGGATTCTGTATTATAAAAATGCTGCGAGGAAGGGATCGTGTGCATCGAGCCGTGTCCGTGTGTTGTCTCTCAAGCTGATGCTGATGCAGCTTCGTTCGATGCAGCCGCCGCCGCCACAGCCGCCGCCGCTGTCGAGCAAGGCAACATAGCCTCGACCGAGCGTCGAAGCCTCTCAAACATGTGTGTATTATACGATGATGTATTTGAACCCACAAAACAAATTCCCGAGAGTCTCTCGACCGAAGGATGAGGAATTTTTTTCTCGTATCGGTACCTACGCGCTTTCGTAACTCCTTACATATTATTTATTGTTGGAAGTAAAACACGCACTGTGCGCTCTTGTCTCGTACGCTATGCGTTTTGTATTATATATTACAATTGTCACTCGCGACGATCCGCGAGACAGACAGACAGAGAGAAAGAAAGAAAGACTCGGAGAAAGAGAGCAGACGCTCTATACTGCGGTGTATGTGTTGCTGTGCTGCTCCAATGTATATGTACTCTCTACGATCGACACTCTGACTGTCCGACCGACCTGTGTGCTGCCCGTGTCTCAGGAGCACCCGCTACTGATGCGATCACACAGAGTTGCGGGATAGAAAGTTTTCAGCAGCAGCAGTGGTACCGGTGTATATATATATAATAATAATGATAATAACAACAAGAGCCGCGCAGCAGAGGATGAAGCGCCGCCGCCGACACACAACTCTATGCTATGCCAGCCTAATGCACATACGAAGCTTGAGCTGCCTGGCTTGCTGCGATTGTGTGTGCGAAAACAATGATAACGAAGTGGAGGGGGATGGCAGCAGCAGCAGCAGCAGCATCATCAGAAGCAGTTAGCAGCACTCAGCAGACGCTGTTGTTGTATGTGTATGTGACGTTGGTAGTTGCTTTTGTGGGGTGTAGAGTTCGCTAGTGCTCGGTGCGGTGTGTGAAAAAACGATTCGAATTCTCTTTTACTGATTATTCGGTCGAAGGTACGTTAGGTTTCTGCTTTAAGAAAAGAATATCGTTTGTTACTTTCTTAAATTATATTTAATTAATTACAGATTTAACTTTATTTAATTTGACACTGAAATTCATCGATAAATTTCACAAGTTCATCGAGTGTATTTACAGATCCAAGTTTTTATTTAGTGATTTTTTTTAAAAAGTCTATAAACAAGATTTTTTACTTACATTTAGGTACTTTTACACTCAATCTTTTTTATACCATTAAAAATTTATTAGCTATTGATTAAGCTATTGTTAAAAGTAGCTCTTAATGGATAATAAAGCACAGAATAATCGTTTCGCATAATCTTGGCCAAGCTGAATTATGTTGCTAACGATCACAAAATGTACAAGCTTCGTCGTTCAAAATAAGTAAGTTAACACATGTTTATATAACGGAGAAATTTTTTCTGGCATTTTAAAACTCAAAATTTGAGTTCATTTTATTGATCTAATATTTATACTTATAAATTTTTTTTCTAATAAAAAAAGGACAACACTCTGATTGAAGAAATTAAATTTTTTTCTATATTCAAATGCATAAATTACTTTACGTTTACATTCATTAATTTAAATTGTCCGTGACTAACAGTCTCAAATGCTTTTGTAGAAAAATAAATTGGAGAATTGTAAGAATCTAATTTTAAATAAGGTGGTACGAAAGCCACCACATAAGAACTGGTTGAATTCCAGCAACGAATAAAATAAAATAGAGTCTCCTTTTGTTACCACGAGCAGAATATGATCCGTTTCCTTCTGGTATCACTCTAAGTTTCAATGATCTTATCAGGAAAAACGCTAATGAAAGACTATAATACAAATATACAATGTAGAATCCTGTTTTTTTGAAAACCAATGATACCAGAAGTGCAGCATTTATTCCAACGTATTTGTAACTGCAATAAGCGAGCAGATCTAAATACCTTAAACTGGTTTCTAAACTCATTATGTAAAGAGTTGCAATGTGAACTATTAATTCAAAAACTCCCCAAGCTAAAGCAGAACTTGCTGTTATTCCTAGTTGCTCAGGAGTAAATTTTTCTTGAGTACCCAAAGCTAAACCTGCTACTACCACATATGTAAGAAACGCCATCATGGGAATGTACATATCTGGTGCATTTTTTTCATAACGTGGTTGCAATGGGCCATCTTGTTCATATCTTATCGACCAATCCTGAAAAAAATTGTTTATATTAAAGTTTGAACAGTTACTATTTTAAAAAATATTTTATACCTTGTGTGTAAATGGGAAGAAAAGTAAAATAAGTTTCATGAAAACATAGTCAGTGTCAACTGCAAAATAGTATCTGAGGGCTGTAATAGGCACAAATCTTTCGAACTGCTGTTTTCCTGAATTGGCCAAAGCATTTCCATAAGACATAGCCATATTTTGAACTAAAGGCTCTGCTAGTAACTGAGTTGCAAATTGAGCTCCTCCGGTTGAAAATCCATCATTCCTGGCGACGCTGGGAGTAAATGTTTGCACAGGGGAAGGTTGATAAGCTGGAGGAGGCTGTTGATTGAATCCATAAGCAGGTGAACCAGGTCCAACACCCTGGTTGGGTACATTAAAACCATAGTCTGCTGGCATACCATTGTTCATAGGTACCTACAATTAGACACCAAGATGTTACATTTGTTTTAAATTCATTTCTAAAAACATCTACCTGCTGATTGTAACTGTAGGGATCTGGCATGGTTGTTGGCATATTTGCACTTGGTGTAGTGTCTATACTTGGATCGAGTACTGTCGGTTTCCCTATAAATTGACAGATAAAAAGATGTAAACGTTTTGTACGAAACAACACGTCACTGAGTCAAACTAAATTCCATATTGACGCGATACGAGTGCAATAACCTAACCTAAATCGGTACATCAACCATTTAAAAATAGCGCAAATTACATTATCATTTCAATTTAGAAAATAAATCAACAATCATTCATTAATTCACTGGTGCTACTGTCATAACAACACTCACAATGCTCACCCCTTCTCCCTCTGGACTGATTATAATTCATGTTTTTGTAATCTCCAACGTCAAATTCGCGAAAAGTTTTTTAAATTTGTCACTCGGCTTCTCGCTAGAAAAAATCAGTGCACTTATTTCCTTTTCACGATTGTTCAGAGGCTCATTGGCTTATGATTAGAACCTATTTCACTACAACAATGATTCGTTATTATTTTACTGCAACATATCAATAATAATGAAGCGAATCGCGAACGTATGATTAGTTGCGGCCATGTCTTTACGCGTAGTATGTGTATTACATATCCGTGTCACCAGCAGACAGATAATATGCATGCCTCGGGTTTGGCTTTTTGCGAATAATTTTTGATCTTCGTGACGCATCGATTCAAGTTTTTTTTCACTGGTCGTAAAAATGTATTAACTGATTTGTGTGATCGTTACGTGAATTAAGTTATTTCGAATTATTGAACATATAATTGCATCGTAATTTTTCTTACGTCTTTTTGCAACATCTTGATTAATTTAAAATTTTCTGTTACTTTCGGAGTACTTATTTTGGGACTCATATTAAAGACTCTCTTAAAAAAAATGTGTTTACTGTTGAATAAGAAAAATGAAAAATAAAATCATAATGAAATTAAATTTTTTATAATTTAAAACGGTCCCGAGTCAATCATTCGGACTTAAAAGGGTTTTTTCGCGTTTAAGACTGGAGAGCTTTTCTGGATCCGTCGGACAGAGAAAAGCTCTACTGTATATCTAAATATTAAAAAAAGTATTTAATGAAGTCTTTGTCCTGGGTAATAATAATTATAAAACAGTTTAAAAATTCATAAGCCATAAAATATTTGTTATCTGATTCTTCTTAATTATTGTTGAAATGTATGGTATGACAGGATGTTTTACGAAAAAAAAATTTAAATATTACAAAATCATTTTAAAAAAAAAGTCTATGAAATGTTTCAAATATTACATATATTTATTTTTCAAATAGCTGATTTATTTCATATAAATAATAATAAAATTATTGAAAAATGTAGACTGAAAAATGACATCAAAAATTGGATGTGTTCCATCCAATATGTCGTAAGCAAGATATTATCAATCGAATCAATCAATCATAAAAATGAGCAATTGCATAAATAATCCGACAAAAAGAGATATGAGGGGGCACCCGGGTTTGAACCGGGGACCTCTCGATCTGCAGTCGAATGCTCTACCACTGAGCTATACCCCCAATGTATCAACGGAATTACGAATATCATGTTTTCATATTAATTTCGATGCTAATCGGATATAAAGAAAGAAGCGACGATCGGCGCGAACGAAACCAAAAAGAGAGGTGAGGGGGCACCCGGGTTTGAACCGGGGACCTCTCGATCTGCAGTCGAATGCTCTACCACTGAGCTATACCCCCGATGTGCTGAGAGGAGGCGAAATTGTCATGTTAGTTTTTTGGGCGAGCGGTACGCGCTTTTGCGACATTCGATTTACTTAGCTGATTGGATGGTTGCTGCGACATTTTTGCGGTCGCGTAGGCGCTTAATCGTTAAAGTTTCATGCATCTGATTTCGTCTCAAAGCTATCAAAGTGCAAGAAGAAAATGCCGAAAAAATGGCAGAAGAGAAGTATCTCAGCCAAAAATAAAAAATGTTGAACTGCAAACGATACAGTGGGAAGAAAAAGAAAAATTTAGTTACATAATTTTTCCAAAAGTTCTTCTCCCATTAAATGTTATATCTTACAGCTGCACATGATATAACAGCTGTTCTCATGTATCTGATGTTTCGAATTATTTAGCTATGTTTTAATTTTCATTCTTTAATTTCGTTACTTGATTTTATTGTAAATCCTTTTTCGATTTATTCTCTAATAAAGATACTTTACGATAAGTTGTGATTTTCTATTTATTTACAATCAACTCCTCCAATCAAGTCCCCCAAGCTGTACAACTATAACTATAATTCAATGGAATTATAGAATGGAAAAAAATAATAAATGGAGTTCTTTAAGAATGTGCGGATTAATATAAATTAAATAAATTGTGTACATTTTTTTCGCCCTCATATTAGTTTATTTCATTGTTATATTCAGACTCATGTGCTAAATGCACATTTGACAGATATTCTTCTGAGATTTTACTGGTCAAAATTGATAGTAATACTTGAGTCAAAGGATGAAAAATTTATTCTTTAAAAATGCATTCTAAGAAGTATAAATGGGAGAATTGTACTAATATGTGGATTTACCAACCATTAATAAAGATCTATCATCCTCTCCACCCACATTACAAATTAGTTTTACGTTAGTGGTAAAACCTTGGTTAAAAATGAGAAATTCACTGAGGCTTTCATATATGTTAATCAGTTACAAATCATTCTTCGCGCAGTCAAATGATGAGTTGTTATCGAGACCATCGTGGACTGTGTTTTGTTGTCTACTCGTTCCGTTGAACTCTCAGATTCATTTTGGAACTTGTCGGGTGGAAAATCTTTGCGACCTTCGTGGACTGTTTTTTGGTGCCTAATCAATTTTGATTTTTCGCTAAATTTTTTCTCGCATTCCTCACATGCGTAATCTTTGCGACCTTCGTGGACTGTCTTTGCGGGTAAACGGCGGGAGTAACTATGACTCTAAGGAGGGCGTAATTGCACTTAGGCTAGTTACTATTCCCGATACCTCGACACGTTTACCCTTAAAACGCCGGCCTGGTATTCGATCTCAGTCTTAGGCTTGGCGATACCCCTGGTCGCCTTGTACGGAGTGAGTAAAGTTTCGTACGGTCGGCGTAACTGCAGAGCGAGGTAGGAGATTTTGATTTCCGTCCCGGAACCGAACGGGAGCTATACAGAAACGCGTCTGTCAATGGCAAATTCGGTACCTCGGGATAGAGTGGTGCCCTGGCGTGGACAGCTACAAGCCACGCTCTATGAATGGTGTTGGACTCGAGGGGGCAGGCGGTTTCGCAGTAGGACAGTTTCGGTCTCGTGTTCAGGGAATGCGTGCATGTCCTTGCGACCGGTGGAAATCCGGGCCGTGGTCTGGCGGTAACGCGCCCTTAGGGGAAACACGCGTTCCGGACCACGGTGGGTAGCCGGCGACCCGAAGACGCCGAAATGTCAGTCACTGGTATGGGGCGGTCGAGGTTCCGAAGCAATGAGCTGAGTTCTGTGCCTGGGGTGGCTAGGCAAGTATGGGTGGACTTGGGCACCCTAGCCCGGAGGCCCTGTGATCTCTATGTGAGAAGGCGAGCTCAGTGATCCTTTTGGCGAGTGGCCGTCACGAAGATCGAACGTTCCGACGCCATGGATTGCCCGTGTGAGGTGAAATCCGAGCACCGAGCGCGGGTGGCACAGTGTCGATGAAGCGTCGGGCTTGGTCCCTGCTGAGTGTTAACTAGGCCAAAGTTTCCGAACAACCCCGGCCGAAGTGACTCGATGAAGCACGGCCTTGACTAGTAGCAGAGCTCTGGTGCAGAAAGGGGGGGGGGGCTAAACGCCCCCCTCCCTTTCAATCCCCCCCCGTTCGGTCGTACCTATGACTCTCGTAAGTATGTAAGAGCAAATGCCGTTTTTGTGAGAACTTCTTTTCGCACTTGTCGCATGCAAAATTTTTCCGACTTTCGTGTATCGTCGTTTGGTGTAGGAGCAATGCCGATTTGTGTCCAAATTTTTTCTCACACTTGTCACATTCGTAATCTTTGCGACCTTCGTGGAATGTCTTTTGGTGGTAGAGTAAACTCTGTTTTTGGTTAAATTTCTTCTCGCATTTGTCGCATTCGTAATCTTTGCGACCTTCATGGACTGTTTTTTGGTGCCTAATCAATTTTGATTTTTCGCTAAATTTTTTCTCGCATTCCTCACATGCGTAATCCTTGCGACCTTCGTGGACTGTTTTTTGGTGTCTAATTAATTTTGATTTTTCGCTAAATTTTTTCTCACATTTCTCACATGCGTAATCCTTGCGATCTTCGTGGACTGTCTTTTGGTGGACAAGCAAATGGCGTTTATGTTTAAATTTCTTTTCGCAAATGTCACATGCGAATTTGTGACCTTCGTGTACTGTCCTTTGGTGGACAAGAAAACTCGATTTTTGTCCAAATTTCTTTTCGCATTTGTCACATGCGTAATCTTTACGACTTTTGTGTACTGTCTGTAGATGGACGCGCAGATACGAGTTTTTTGTATATTTCTTCTCGCATTTGTTGCATGCGAAATCTTTGTGACCATCGTGAACTGTATTTTGGTGTCTGAGCAAATCCGATTTTCGTCCAAATTTCCTTTTGCACTGGTTGCAAGCGTAATCTTTGCGACCTTCATGTACCGTCATTTGGTGTCTAATTAAAATGCTTTGAGCCCCGAATTTCTGTTCACACTTGTCGCATACGTGATCTTTGCGACCTTCATGGAATGTCTTTTGGTGGAAAAGTAAACTCTGTTTGTGAGCAAAGTTCTTCTCACACTTATGACAAGCGTAATTTTTGTGACCATCGTGAACTGTATTCTGGTGCCCGATCAAATCTGAATTTTTTCCAAATTTCTTCCCACAATATTCACATAAGTAACTTTTGTAGGCCTGCAAGACTAAATCTTTCCGACCTTCATGTACTGTTTTCAGGTGAAAGAGCAAATGAGTTTTTTTTCTAAATTTCTCCTTGCACTTATCGCAAGCATAATCTTTGCGACCATCGTGCTCTGATTTTATGTGCACGAGCAAACTGCGTTTATTTCCAAATCTCTTTGCACATATTTCACATAAGTAATTTTTGAAAACTTCATGGAATATTTTTTTATGTTTGAGTAAAGATGATTTATTTTCAAATTTTCTTTCGCACTTGTTGCATGGGAAATTGTGACGATCTTTGTGTACTAATTTTTGGTGTGTAAACAAACTCGATTTTTCCTCAAATTTCTGCTCACACTGTTCACATGCGAAATCTTTCCGACCTACATGTACCGTTTTTTGGTGGAAGAGCAAATTTGATTTTTGTTTATATTTCTCTTCGTACTTGTCACGTGCGATATCTTTGGGACCCGCATCGCGTTCACCATCTTTTTGCACGTCGTTAATTGTGTCTTCGGACCTATTCATACTTGATTTTTTTTCGTGAATATCTTCTGAAAAATTATTTTTCGCCGACGGAACGATAGTGAACGATAGCGGTAATTCAATTGAAGATAAAAGTTGAATAAATAAAATATACGTAGGATATTACGTATGGTGTGATCTACGAAAGCAACGTTTGAACTAATTTAAATGTCAATTAAAATTTTCAGTAATTAGAAGGCTTCGTCACAATTGCTTGTTATTATTGTTTACAGTCAGACATAGGTTTCTCTATTTACATATTGCTCAGTCATTTTTGAATGACCGAACATCATTTATGGACAAATTGCCTGTGTATTGATAATTGTAGATTCGTTTTTATTGAAAATTTGTTCTTTGACGCTATAAGGACAATTTGTCTTACTCAACGTTTTTTCATATTTCCATGCGGAATTACTCATTAAATACTAATTTCCATGCTGATGCGGCTTCAACTCACACTACCTCAATTACAAAAGGAAATTGATTTTATTGAAAAACTTTCGATTCAGTTTTTAATACTTTTGAGCTTAATGTGGGTTTCGGTTGTGTGTGCTGAGGCCACGTCAGCAGGGCAATTTAAATTAGAAAGATTTAAAAGTCTTATCAAAACCTAAAAATTCATAGGCTCAGAATGTTTCTACGAGGCCCTTTTCTGAAATGGCGAGTGAAAAAGCAACGTCGAAAAAAACTGATTTTTTCGAATCGTTATTGAGCTATGACACTTTAAAATTACACTTTACAGTTTGGATTTACTCAATTTTTACTCAGGTAATGTTTCAAATTGACAACTTTCTCAAAATTATTTACAAAGCGAAGATTCCGCGAAAAAAATTATATAGAAATATTGCGAAGGCCAGTTTTTTGTTGGAAGGAATAAGCGAACAAACGACGTACTTCTTTTTTTGCTATTAAAGTTGAATTGTCGTAATTTCAAAATGGCATTTGAAAACATTTTGCTGCGATATTTTCTAGCGGAACTTTCGTCAAAATTTTTGACGAAGAAGAAACTTTAAACATACCAATGCATGACGATCGAAACGTACCGAGATCGTATAAATTGTCTCCGTTATCATTTCATACTTCAGAAGGTAAAGAAGTTTACTCTATTATCTTCACAATTTTGTGTCAATATCTCTTTGAATGACGATAAAATAAGCAAGTTGGCTGTCTAAAATAAAGGGATATAATTTTTTATTAATGTCGATAATCTGAAAATATTTTGTAAATTTTAAGCTGCCCCGATTAAAAAAACGTACACCTTTGATTCTTTACAACAACCGTCTACCGACGTTTTGCGTATCAGGTATATTCTAGTGAATATTGCGCAAATTTCTTTATTGTCTATCCGCGCGCAGGCGCACACCAACGAGTCAAAGGAGTAGTATACCTCTCATCCTTTTTTTCTTATGCCACTATACGAACGTTGCAGCTAGAAGGAGAGAGAGAAAGAGACACAGAGGGAGAGAGAGGGATAAAGAGAGCGAAACAATCGCACAGCCTAGGACTGCTGCAGGCACAAGTCCGGTTAACTCGACGCGCACGACAGTATTGCACGACGAGTCAAAATGGCGAGATCTGCAGTGTCGGAGTGCTGTATCGCGACGCGAGTGTCATGCAGTGAATGAAACACGCGCACAGTAGCAGCACCAGCAGCAGCACTACAGCGATCACTTCTGCTAAATATACTTAATCCTGTGAGTTTTCCTCAATTTTTTTTTTCGTCGGCTCTAAATCACTGCCTCCGGATTTCGAGGGTCACGTGCATTTAGGAAAAATTTTGCGAGTGCGTGCGCGGAGGAGCTTTTCGAGAGAGCGTGGGTGCAAAAAATTTATCGACAAAGTTTTCGCTGGCGCTGGCATTACAAGTGCGCTCTTGGTACAGTGTGCACGCGAACGCGATATATTGAGCGGGGTGTCGCAAGCCCAGAGGGTGAAAGTGGCACTTGTATATATACACCCACTGTTGTACATCTGCTATTAGTTCATGTGAATTTATGCAGATCGTTAAATCCAGTTTGAAAAATCGAGAGTTTTTGAGTTTGCGAGGTGGATGGGTTTGCATCGCGATGCGGCAGCAAGTGTTTGCACTCGAAGTTTTTTGGTGGTGAGCTTTTATCGAGTCCGAAGCAATATGGGCAGAAAATCAGTCTTTTTTATCTCGTGTTTAGCACAGGATATTAATTATTGTCAAGCTATCAGCTTTAATGCGAAACATAAATTTTATTTATTTTCTTTTTGGATCAACAAAACTTTTGCATATACAGAGTTTCATTTGTTTGATCTTACAACACCGTTTCAATTAATTAGTTTATAGAGCATTATAAAAAACCTTGAATTACGCTAACAAATGATCGAACCTACTTGAATTCAATGCATCGTGAATCATGGCACAAGGTTTGCATCATTATGACATTTATTAAAAACAAAGCATGAATTTATTCGTACCTTCTACGCTGCTACAACGACACGTACATCTGTCTCGTTCAAACGTAGAAGAGGCTTTCCTTTTATGAATGCAGCGTAAATTTGTCTTCGCTTTATCTATACCATAAAACTATGGCTTATTTTCAAAATATTTTATTTATTCTAATTTTAAAAGTTTAATTTGTATTTCACTAATAATATGAAAAAGTAGTATAAAAGTGTAATTAAGCTAAAAATTATTCGTAACGCATATGGTCTCTTTCATTCATCCAGTCTGACACGAAAAAGCGATTAAATTGAAATGAAACTTTGCAGTGAAACATTGTTTACTCTACAGATAGTAAAGAAACAAATTACCAAGTAAATAGTGAAATTATCTTTGCATTAATGCAATATTTGATTAGTAATTTTTTAATTTTTTTCAAATATTTGAACGTGAATATATTTCTGATTCATACTTGCAAATACAGCTCATACCAACTTTTAATGATTATCCAACGAAAGTATATTTTATGCTTGATTACGAACCAACATTGACACAAACAGTTTGGACCAGACAATATTGGTTATTCAACTTGACTTACTTGGTCGCGACTCGTTGACAAGGGCTGAAAATACGATCATTTCCGTGACTGCAGTTGCATAAAAAGTTCTTGAGAATAATTTCGCTCTCATACTCATTTTCGTGTTCGGCGAATTTTTTAAGGTTTCGCTTCGATTCGGTATTAGATGTCCGCAGCAGTTTCAGCTTACTCGATTGAGTTACTTACTTTCGTACGCTCAAAACGACTTCTTGCTGCTCATGACAAGCTGATTAGATGCGTACGCTTGCAACTTTCATATCGATCATATTGAAACAAAAAAAAACAGTAGATTCGCTGAATAACGAAAAAATTTCAAAAAAAAGTGCAGCTTCACCTCTCATTGACAATCCACCGCGAGGAAAAGCATGCGATACAAAGTTTATTCAGCTCTTTTCCTCGTTTTGTATGTGCATGTGTAGTGTATACCCTTATGCGATTCAACAATTACCATTATGCCGCTCATAATGCACTCACGGACAAAACAACGATTGGCTGCGTTTCTTTTCTCGTGTATAATCGCTTTTGACGATTACAATTACGCTCGGTTAACCGCGTTCATCGTCGTGTGCACATTCATAGATTCGTTTGCGCGCATTCGTGACTCTATTGTGTGTGTAGCATTATATTGTATACATTATGTGCGAACGCCTCCCGCGCACCACGCGGGGCTTATTATATTTGCCATATGTGTAATGCACTTTATCGCCGATGATAAGGCTCTAATCGAATATCGATGAAACGCGAATGGCATAGACGTGCTAGCGCTGAGTTAATCAGCCGCAACACTTGCGGATTTGTTTCGATGGATTTGTTTATACTCGGTAAGAGCAGCATTTATCGATTTATTTTCAAAAAATATAAATTAAAGTAAATTTACAACGAGAAAATTTATTGTTTGTGATTATTTAAAAATAATTTAATGCAAAGCTTTTGGAAATTTGTGATCGAAAAAACTTTCTACGTCTAACAACTGGCCTTGTGGCGCAACGGATAACGCGTCTGACTACGGATCAGAAGATTCCAGGTTCGAATCCTGGCAAGGTCGACTCTTTTTTGTACTTTTACGTCTCAAAAGATTTGACTTCTCATTCAGATTTATGTACTTTTTTATAATTTTAGCATAAATGTTTATATTTTGTTCGGTTTGCCGAATAAACAAAATAAAATAGTTCCATCGTCAAACACTTGCATACACGTTTTTGGGTTGACTTTTGAACTGAAATTATCGCGTTTTAACGTGTATTTGACTCTGTCTGAGAGTATAATGCCACAATAGGTGTGCCGGAGTCCGCACCTCTTTCATGACGCGCATATACACCTTTATAAATGTAACGTTTTTTTTGTCATATCATGTACAAGTGCTCGCGCTCGGCTATACGAGGGAATATAGTGCAGCAGCGCCTCGTATTATACGAAGCGCAGAACAAGAGAAATGATCCATTACTATGGAAACAACGTGCATAAACTTCGCTCGTATACATATACCACACAGAAAACAATTTATGTGCAATGCGAGAATCCATATAGCCAAGCTCATTGCCGTGCAGAATCATGCCGCGAGTTGAATGTGTATGTATATTATAATAAGTGCACGCGAAATTACGTAACAGAACGTGAGCATGAGAAGATGCTTTGGGGGCAAAATTATCTACGAATTTCTCCGTTTTTTTGATGAAATGCATCGTTTGCTCGTTGGTTTTAGAGTACGATTGGCATCTACATAATGCGCCTTGGGAAATTTCGATTATTATCATAAATGATGGAAAGTAAAACGCGTCGTTTAGAGACAGATTTTGAGTAGTTTCGACATTTTCTAAATGCGATTCAATTGAATAAAAATGTTCTGCTCTAGAAACTCGATTATAAATATATATCACGCTCGAGAGAGAAAAAGAAAGAGAGATAGGGAGAGAGAGAGAGAGAGAGAGAGAGAGAGAGAGAGAAGGAAAACGTAATCCAGTTGCCATTAATTGTCCGCGATCCTGTTATGAGATAATGATTATGAGGCGTAATACACTTACTCTCAGCTACTTTATATTCTAATTGTAAAACAATCAAACGCGCCAAGATTTCTCGCTCCCGAGGTGACGCTTGTTGTACACGTCCGTGTATAACCACTTGAATAACGAGCATCGCGCACGGAACGAGATAGCTACGAGATAATGTAGAAAGTGCCATGTAGGCGTCGAGACAAACCGCATTTTGCGAGAATTAAAGTATATACGCGTTTCGTAATACACCGCGAGAGTCGCGCGCTTTCTTGTTCGCGCGGGTACATAAGTATGTAACGCGCGCCTTGCTACAAGTTGTAACAAAAAAAAAAAAAAAATTTCTCGATGGAATTTAAAAAATTAAAAAAAATTAAATGACCACACCGATCCACGACAAATGGGTCATTTGGTTTCGATTCGTATGCGATTCGTCACGATTCTATTGCTGCTGCTGCCGCTGTTGCCCTGCTGCAACAGATGAATTCGACGCGCTTGTGCACATTTTTTACGCGTTTTCTATGAATGCGCGGTTTCGTATTTTTTTCTCTCTTTACCTCGTCGCGAGTGGAATTTTCATACCGTCGAGCGACGCGATTGGAAAAACTCGAGATTAATGGTATTTAATTGATTTTTCTTGTTTTTGCGAAAAGAAAAAGAATCGCACGTATAATTGAACTGATAACTTTTAAATCCATCGCATTATTCTTATCTAAAATTTGCCAACAATGACGAGCCGACGCGAAAATCATAATTTTTGCCGTGAAAACGTTGCGTTACTTAACGAGCGTCCTTTATAATCTCTCGGCAAACGATGTGTTTATTTTTTTTTCCTTATCAAAAGTAAACGCGCCGCTTCGAGTGTGCGCGAATTTTGTTATTTACCAAAACTAAATTTTCGCGCGTTTTGTTCGTGAGAGTTTTTTAATTTTTATCAACGACTGGAAACATGTCAAGGTGCAATTTTAACATGCAGAAACCATTAGCGAGAGCATCATCATAGGTTGAAACAAAAAAAAATGAAGAAGAAAAACTGTGTTTGTCTGACCGTCTGACTGACGTACTTGCAGCAAGGTTTTTAATTAAAAGTATTAATCAATCGTTTTGCGTGTAAATTTATGCTTAAATTAACTTACAATGCATCGAGGGTTGGTTTATGAAATAAGAAATATTGTATAATTTTTTGCGGTGTAGGTTACAGTGTATCGAGGATGATCGTAATTTTCATTAACACGCGTGCGTGTATTATATGCCCATGCGTAATACATGTAACGCATACATTTTTCTCGTTCTACTTAGTCGCGATCAGCCTATTTAATCCTCGTTTTGGAATCAACGTTTGGAAAATTCGTCGAAGCAACTATAGTAAGACTCGGCCACCGCACTGCAAATTATAAATTACACAAAAGTAAGGCGAAAATGTTTTGCCGTTAAGTACGCAAGTCGGGCACACATAATCGCGTAAATGAAAAAATAAAAGCTAGATATCGTGCCGTACTCAACACCTCATTGATTGTTCAATGTTGCAACGTTACTGTATGAGTATAAAATACCACGTCGTGTACACGCCAATGAGCATATAGGCGAAACGATCGTCTCTCGCGCATAAGAGAAAAACTGCAGGTGCGGTAATCTTCGAGCACCCGTGTAATGTATTGATCAGTGCAATTCGACACTCGAGGTTTCTTCTGTACTCTTTTTTTTCGTCAACCCTGGAAATTCAATATCAAGAGAGTGTCACGATCTCTCGCGTGTGAAGTACTCCTTTTTTTCCTCATCTTCTGAAGACGATATTCGAATTGCATCTTCCGTGTCTGCGGGACGAATATTAACATTGATTATAATCGGCTCGGTACGAAAGTAAATAAAAATAAAAAATTAATTAAAAAAAACGATTCACGAAATCGTCTCATTCGAAAAATATGCGAAGTCTGATTCACGCTCGTGTTTACAATATTCGCTCGATGAAATTTACAATCGATAGTTCAATCCGTATACGCACGTGTATTATATTCATAATAATACTCCGAGATTTAGAAAGATCGGTTAGATAAGATTAGATATTCGCAATAGAGCGGCGCCGAGTGCTCCATTGCATATGATATAAAACTCGAAGCTCTCCCACCACCAGATATCCTCGGCAGCTCTCTTTCTTTCTTTATATAGTATATAGTAATATTTGTTATCTCGACTTGCCTATTATATCTCGTCGTTCGCTCGCGTTTTGTGTTATAAGCTTTCTCTCTTTCGCGCTCGACTAATAGCCGTCTATAGTAGTTTTGTACAAATCGCGGCAGTGCCGCTGCAGTCTCGTGTTCAGCACCTGTCAGCTCACAGTAAGTGTTAAGTGTTGAATATTGCCTCGCGATCGAACCGGAGTTTGTTTTGTTTATATCTCCACGAGTGCGTTCGACGATCGAGTGTGATTTTTTGTTGGCTTCAACGACTTGAGCCTTGTATACGAAAACACGTGCGTGATTCTAATATTTTTCAATTTTGAGTTTGTGAGTTACTATGAATGGGATTTATTTTCTACGTAAAAAAAAACAACATATTTTCAAGCTTCCAATTTTTTTCGCTTATAAATCATATATCTAGAAATGATGCGCTCATAATGAGAATAATAATGAACCCGCAGAATTCCTGTCGCTTCTTCCGTATACCTCGATATTACGCTGGTATGTTTCGGCGTCTCTTCGCATTCAAACTGTCTCTCAGGCGCCTTATCTTCGCACACATTTTTTACTTGGCTCTAGGTGACGCATACAACGCCATACTTTCATTTTTAAGAAAAAAACAAATGCTCAACACAATTTTCTTCCGCTTCGATTCTATATTGAGAACAGCACCATACAATCACCTTACAGTTTTGTGCCGGCAGAGTCTGTCTGTGTGTTGTGTTGTGTATATAAAATATCGAGCGACCGAGATGCGTCATCTTTTGCCCACGGAACTCTTTTGCGCGAGTATTAGGAACAAATATTTTAAGATACACTTTATAATATCATTTAGGTATTTGGGTATCCAACCTATTTTTATAATTTGGGTGCAAAATTCGTGTCTCTGAAAATGTTCTGATTTAATTCGATAGATACGAACTTTTCATCGCTTCTCAGCCTTGATTTTTCATCCTTTCAACTCGAGTTTACAATAATGATTTTAATCTATCTAAAAAATGTGTCCTTCGGTCTGCTGGCTCGCTCGAAATATATAATGCACATGAAAAGCTTCTTGAGTGGGCTTTGAGTGCGCTTTGAGAAGCTAATTGATACGCCGCGACTGCACGTAGATACGGTCGATGCATATAATTTTAGAAAATTGCTTCATCAAAGGATCGTGATAAAGTGCCTGTTTGTTGAAACAATTTTTGCCTTCGACCTGTGCGGCCGATGTGATTCACGTTTTTTGTGTGCTTAAACGCGCTCGAAACACGTTATATCCGTTTCAAAAGTCCAATGCTTTCCTCGTTTCACGACCGATAAGGTACATTTAGAGGACGGCTTTTGAGAATTTTTGTCGAGCACGAGCGGGGATCGCTCTTTATCTCGAACGAATTTAATGACCAAAAGTTGGATCCGCTTCGTTATATCAAATTAGGTATATTTTTCGCCGTGTCCGCCTCGTGGCGAGAGAAAATTTTTTTAATATTCCGACCATATCTCTCTCTTAATGAAAAGACCTGCCTGACTGATCGAACTTAGCGAGCGCTCGGCTAGCATTGTGCGCGCCAGAATTGAATCCGAAATGTGGAACACTTTTGTTCGCTGTGATCCACACCCTTCTAATTCAAGGCACGCACCTCCTCCTCCTCCTCTCTCTTTGCACGGCGGTGGCGGCTCGTGCCTTATATCCGCGGTCAAACCTCGTGAAACTATGACAAAGGAAAAGAAAATTAAGTACCGTTCGACGTGCCGGCGTTTAATACGAAAATTGGCCGAAAAGAGCAGAGGCCTTTTGTGTACTTGTATACACACTCGTATATAATAAACCTGCTGCAGTTGCAGTCCGAGGCACAAGTTCATCTCTCTCTTTCTCTCTCTATGGGCAGCAGCAGCGTCAAGAGCATTTCCTGCTCGCCCACGCCTTTTGTGCAGCTCAACAGTATATACATACGTATATACGCGCTCTCTTTAACTTCCTCGTCTCTAATACGCTCTCGCTACGATGTCGACAAAGACGCACGCGAGCATGACCGCAAAACTCGACTGCTGCTGCTTCGTATGTATGTATATGCACTTTATAATGCACGTGTGCGTGTCCGTGTGTGTGTGTGTGTGTGTATGTATAATACATGCGTCTAAGTATCACGTTCTCCTATTGCTGTGTATAGGCAGCTTATAGGCCGCGCGCGGCCCGTAGTAGCGCAACTGCAGCAGCAGCAGCGATCTTTAATTGCGATAACTTCCACAGCGGACATACGCGCCGCACACAGTTGGGTAACGAACCTTTTTTTTTCGTTGCTACATATATTGTACATCGATGTTGTGGGTGTAGGAGGGGAGGGGGCATATTTTACGATATGCGCACTAATAAAACGTCTCTCGTGTGCCAAACAACGCAACGGAACGATCCTGCACGGCGCGTGAATAATTGCGTGCATTAAAATAAAACTTATCGCTCGGACAATACATTTTTGTTTCAAACACCTTCGTCGTCATTCAGCTCGCGTACGTGCGAAAATCAATGGACGTTGATATGAATCGAACGACATCGCGCGGTATACCAGTTTTTTTTCTTTTCTACATACTTGTCATGATGCAGCGCTGCGATCAGCGAGAGCGTTTACACATGCAAATTAATTACTCGGCTGCGACGAACAAAGAGTCGCGCGTTAGTGTATCATGCGGAGCGGATTACTCGTTAATCTAATTTATCAACGGGGATAGTCGAATAGTTACAGAATTTATTGATTATAACGCGACCTTCGAATGGCTCGTGGTGATAATTCAAAGGCACGAGCCGAGACTTTTAATGAATTATAAATGATAAGAATCAATAGGATATCTACCAGTTGTTGTTGTTGTTTTTTTTTCAATAGTTCAATGATTTTTCCATGAGATAAAATTGATTGGTTTTCTAAAGCTACCCCCGTGTGTATTGAAAAATGTTCAATTTACAACGAAAAAAAAGCTCAAAAAATGTTATCTACCAAATAGAGGAAATAAAATTCATTTTATACAAATAATAATAACTCGACGGACGTCATTACGTCCTTGATTCGTATATTGCTAATGTTGGAGGAAATCGCGAAGCCCTTGCTCCGATGATCGCCGAGGCATCGTCCCGCAGTGTGCGCGACAGTTGTTACGTTTACTCATCGTGAAATCCGGTTTTCAAGACACACGACTGCACTTATATATATAACGCAAACGTTACACTCGCCTATATCCTCGTTGAATTACACAATAGAAAATATCGTATCGTATTGGTTTTTTCTTACTTTGCTACGTGTATACCGATCGTAATGCACGACTATTTTTATAGCCTTCCTGGAACACGAAGACGACGACGACGACGACGATCCTTCCGAGCGATGAATCTCGTAGTTGCGACATTTAACTTTTTCCTCGTCCCGTGATGACTTTTTCGCGCGAGGCGCACAACATTGTAATATTTGCGCCTGAATTAACGTCGGTGCTCATTAGGTACGCCTCGTCGTCGTCGGTCAACAGTGAAATCCTCTCGAGCTCGCGCTCCGAGGTGCACACGACGCGTGAGAAATGATGCGCTTCAGCTCGAAGCAAGCAGACTCATCACGCGACGCGTATACAAAAAAAAAATAATTTTTCTTACATTCTGTCTCTCTGTTTTGCAGGCAAATATCTCCAATGACGCGATGACGCTACACTGGTGGATGCATTGGTTCTGGGTTACGGCGCAAATCGTTGGTAAGTTTCTTATTCGCGGTGGAGTCTATACATAATGCGCGATCACTGCGAGCATTATAATGTTATATGTATATAGTCAGAATCGCGACACTCCGTAACGTGACGTGTACTATATAGACATATATATAGACATTAGATGAGCACGTATATAGATATAAAGTTTTCTAAGTTGAGCAAAGTTGGGTGAACAACTTTTTGTGTCACGGACAAACGTCGCGGGTCGTAAAACGATTGAATTTTCTATGTTAACGACTTTGGACGTAAACAAAATTATCTTTCGCAAAAGGCAATAATAACATCGATTGTTTTTGCGACTTATCTAAATTGTCGCTCTCTGAAATATATATAATGTATATATCATTGGCTGGTAAAAGAGTTAAAAATAGCCACGTGGCGCGGGCGTATTTTTTTATTTATACACACATTATTACAAGTCGCTCGTTGGAAAAGTCTTTCAAATGTTATAATTTCGCTCCCTGTGTATATACATACAAGTTCAAGCGATATTAAGTGAAATGTCGAAAGGCAAATCGTGGCCGCCGTCGCCGCCTCCGGGCGCCTTATGTAAACCGTAAGTCTGTATGTCTACTTATTGCTTGCATTGCAAAATCACAAAAGAACCGTTCGTGCGCGCAATGTTTATATACATTTGTACCATGTGTGTGTAGATCCGACGTCCGTATTATTTATTTCTCATTGTGCTATACTACGCCTACGACACGTTTTTTTTGAAAAGTCAGCGATTTTCAAATATTCATCGCTGCGTAGTTTTTGTTAATTTTTTTAAAAATTGATGTACGATGCTGAATTAATTTACTTTTTTTGTTGTTTATACATACATTACGCGGCGGAATATATACTCGGCTATGCCTTTACCCGCAATAATGAGTTTTATGCTAATTTCACGGTTTTATGAATGTACATTCACTTGTTGAAAAATGAAAGAAGAAAAAAATTAGCTTTGAACAAACAAATGAAAAAAAAAAAACAAGGTGAACGACGCAGCAGTCGTTAACGTTAGGACCATACAACCGTTAATTTCTAAGTTTACGCTCCGATTATCAAAAGCATAATCCATTCAAGGCCCGAACCGTATACGCGCCGCGATGGAATATCAAGATCCGACATTCGCGCGCGATGCGTAAAAATGTAATTCGTTTTTTTTTCCACCGCGCGTATATATAGTATTGTGAAAATGGTTTGACTTTAACAAAAAAGAGAGAGAGAAAAAAAGAGATAAGAAAAAATGTCTATTTCAGTCTGCCTAAGCAATCCTACGATGGAGCTGCCAATGGAAACCACTAGGACAATGTCCGTATTGGCGGACACAACAGCCGTAGATCCAAGCGTAACGACAACACCAGCAGCAGCAACACCAACAACAACAACGGCGGCAACAATAACTACAACGACGACGGCTAACGACACGACGTCGACGGGCGATCCGACGTCGGATGGTAATTCGACGACGTCGATTTCACCGGCGGACGATGCCCTGGCGCGATTGCAGCAAAGTTATCGCATCAACAAGGCGACTGGTCTGCAGAACGTCACCGGCGATAACGCGACTGGTTCGGAAAAATCGGAAACGTCGACCAATTCGAGCATGAGCAGTACCAGTACCGAGCAGCCGATGCAAGCCGATGCCACCACTTCGATTTATCTCGATAGATTTAGGTGAGAGTTGGCGCGATCAATTCGGAACGATAAATTTAGAAAATTATTTATGCATTTTTTGTATTTTACTTATAGGCCTATAGAAATCAATACCAATCGAACAGTAATTATTCCCGCGTCCGCGGAAAACAATCGCACCGTCCAAGAACCCAGCCGTATATCCAACGTCAATACCAAAAAAGAGAACAAAATCAGTTGGATAAGCGTTCTGAATCCTCCAGTAAGACCTAATCGCGAGGAAAATTCGTCCGACGCAGCCGAGTCGATCTCGCCGTCGACGACCTCCTCGTCGCACGAAATTTTGACGGTTATGCCGCTTCAAGTGAACACGGATTATTCCGTCGTCGAGCATAACAACAACAACAACAACGTGAGGCGAAATCGCACGGCCGAGCAGTTGCTCGGGGACCCTCAAAATACGGGCGAACTGCAGGCCGTTGCGACCGCCGCATCTGTTTTCGAGGGTGAGTGTTGTTAAGGCTCATTACGTCAATTAAGAGTTTCTTGGTCTCGAGTTTGTGATAAAGGAAATGTGTTCTAGATATATCTCTAGATAGTTGTAGGAGGATAGACGTTCTTGATCATTAGATTCTAGTCAAATTAAACTTTTGTAATAGTTAGTCACTGATTAGATCAACATTTTTTTCTTATCTGATTATTATAAAGAAAAACTAAATGCATTACAAATTTTATTACATATTTTTTCGCAATCTACATTCTTCATCTACAGCTAATATTAGTAACTAAAATATTTACTTATCGATGCATATAAAAAGTTCTCACGCTGATTCCGATAGATTTGTTTGCTGCCCGCTACAAAATGAATACATTTCATAACGTTTTTATCGTCGACTGAGCGAGATTACAATTTATGTAATGTAAAAAATGTTGCCGAGCGAAAAAACGACCATTACTGATTTCATCAGATCTCAACAATAATTTTAATGATTTCCTGATATATTTTATAATAAGGTCGAGCTAATTTTCATTCCTTCTCGAGATCCGATGAAGTAACACAATCTCGAATCGATCATTTAACTTGTAACATAATAAATATAAATGCCATTGATCAATTAAAACTTCATCATTAAATGTGATTCGATTCAGCTGGTTACGGTGACTCCACGAGGCTGGGCCGAGCGCGGGGAGCCTTCACGAGTGAGTTTCAGCGCGAGCAGGTGGCATCCTCGCGCGAAGACAGCGCGAAGGAATTGATCGAGCCGGTGTCGGTGAGCAAAAACACGGTGTCATCTGGTCGTAACATAACGGAAATAGCGACTATCACGGGCAGCTGTTTGGCTGTCATTGTTCTGCTCAGCTCGGTCGGCAGCGTTAGCTTCATTATGTATAGGTAAGTCGTCGAAGAAAAAAAAATTATATGCTCGCAGTACATTAACGAGATTCGATTGAAACTTTTTAACTTTTTCGCAGGAGAAAATACCTCAATCCCCCGCAAACTTTGAACAGCGACAAATGTAGCAATCCCGATAGTTCAGGATACATAGACGATTCTACGATAAGAGTGAGCAAAAGAAAGATTTTTGAAACATTTGGTGGCATGTCGGAGCTCTGATTGAATAATCGTGTCTTTCTGTTTTAAGGATAACTCGGAGGAGATGTACAGCCTCGACAACGATTCGTTTTTGAATTCGCTCGAGGCGATGACCATTCAGAACTATTGGACCGACGTGAAACACACCAAGCTCTAACTGTGTAGGAGTTACTAAAAATTTAACATAGACTCATATCCTCGTTCGTTCGTACATGTGAAGAATACAAGAGACAAACAATATGTGTTATAACAATTATATTTTTGCAATCTAAATGAATCCTGGTGATTTGTGATGATCATATGTATTATTATAAATATCAGCAAATTTTCAAACTGCTGCTCTTCGGCAATTATATATATGTATAATCGTGAAAAATAGGCTTGCGCGACGATGAATCAATGTACGTCCGCATACTGTAACGTTTCAATGTAGCTCGTCGTCGTAATTGTACATTGTATAAATGTAATATTGTATAAGTTTTAGGGTAATTACGTGAAAAGTTCTTCTCAAAAACAGAGTGACTGTTGGGTTGCAGTATTTTCGAAGTTAGTAACGAAATTCGGTTTAAAAAAAAAGCATTCTACAATGGTGTAAGGAGTTTAGTTAGTGCAATAATTCAAAGTACTTGATCATTTATCGTTAAGCTAGTCTTTAAGTCAGATGTATGAAAATGTATGCAAATTCAAGTACAAAAATATTGTAGCTGTTATTACAGATCGTTCGTTTAATGTTTAAAAGCATGTATATAATTACTATTATTTTTTGTAATTTTTTTTCTTACGAACAGATTGATTCGTTCACGAACTTTTGGATTTTTCAAATAGTATCAAATTGTAATTGTTTAACATTATTTAATTTAACTCTGTTTTAATGTTAAAATTATTATTTGGATAGTTTTTGCAACAAAAAAAATATTGTGATATAAAATGCAACCTAAGTAAAGTAAATTTATGTAGCACTTATTGTGGTATATGATTCCCCAAAATAAGACTAAAATAGCTGTCATTTGTAAAGGTTCATATAGAGGCATATCTTTATGTCATCTATTTTTATTAAAATAATTGTTTCAATCTGAAATCGTTTGTACATGATTTACGTTCTACTTTTTGTGTTTGAATACTGAATGAACATATGCATTATTGTTATGAACTTGTTTCAATCGATTGACGTGTTTCCAAAAAATTACTTCATAAAAAAATTACTATTGTGAGGAATTTTATTATTATATTTTTAAGGAAAGTATAAATCTTTTCATGATCATGAACAACTAATGCGTAACGCAAAGTAATAATTACATTTAGCCATTTAACAATAAAAAGAAATTCCATGTTGTATTTTTAAAAAAATATAATGCATATTATTTTATAAAAATATCAATTTCTAAATGATTAAATTTATTCTACCGTATTCTTGGATTTAAACATTTGTAGTTTGTATAAAAATTACTTTGGAAAATTCACTGTAATTTGAAAATTAATTCAGGAGTGAATGAAATTCTGAATTCTAAATAAGTTAAACTTTATAATAACACTCGCTATTTTTCAAAAACTAATTAAAATTATTAAACATAATAAATTTTGCAATATCTGTTAATACATTTTACTGTACTACAAATTTTTACCACGAAGTAATAGCGACTTTCACAATTAGTACTTAAAAGTTGGGTTAAATTATAAAACTCACTGATTCAAAGTATTGTTGAAAAAAATAATTTTTTTATCATTTTAATTTTAATTGACAGTTAAGTGCTAATACAATAGTTTATTTTTAATGATTTCTGTTTTCGTTGACGAAAACTAATCCACATTATCATAATATGTAAAGAGTGCCGGACCAAAATTCAAATAAATAGCTTAACTTATTAATAGTTTATGGTGATCAAATCCATCCCAATTTATTAAATTAAAACGACATTTTTCGGAACATTTAAATCCCTTTGATAAATCTATTTTATCTACAAAATGGTAGAATACAATTTTTTCAATTGAAACTATTTACTAAATTGCTGTTGTTTACTTTGGTTCAGGTAAAGATCACTGAAAAGAAATTATTAAATAAATTTATATTGATGTATTCCTTTATAAACTATTATTCAGCTATAAATAGGCAATAAAACCGGAAGTACTAATAAAATTATGAGCTAATAAACGCATGAAAAAAATGTAGAGCTAAACAGTCAATCAGATTTTTAAAACCAGCTTACATTTGAAAATGTTCGAGCTATTGATATGATAATAATTCTAAATGTAAATAAAATGCATGGCTTAAAATATAAAATCATAAATTAGATCACGTACAATGTGCTAAATTAGTATTGAATAAATTTAATAAATGTTGTAATTTATCTGTCTGGTTTCAAATACGAACATTAAAACTAAATTATATTAGCTATATAACTTAGTATCAAGGTATTTTTCAAATTGTCATGTCAGTTAAAAGAAGTATCATAAAGAAACTCGACTGTTCTACAGCAATAATAAGGTCAAGTTGACTATTCTTGTTGACCATAGTTGTCATATTAATAACAATTAATTTTTTTTCAAGAGCTCATTTACAACATCTAATTTCTTTGGGATGTTAATGAAAAAGATTATAGAATAGTAATAAATTGTAACTATTCTGTCAACGAGCTATAATAGCGGCATTTTTCAGGCAATTCGGATCGAATTCAAAATATTTATAACGTACTGTAGAATTTTAATTTTCCATTGTTATTAGTTCAAGTCAATATTATGCATGAATGAAAATCAAACGAATGAATTATGAATTCCGCGATGTTGCATCAAGTTGCACCGCTAACTAACACCGTTAACATAAAAAGTACAAATCCATCTTTTTGACTAAATTCAATTTTTAGAAAGTAGTCAAATACTTGAATCGTTAATTCGTAAATCGAAGTTAAAATAACACTTTAGAACCACACTCTATTGAGTTATTATTATTAAAAATTATACATATAACATCGGTAACAACTACTGTGTGAATTAAAATTTAATTTATTTATGGCCGTACCAAAATATACACTGAAAATTTACAAACATTAAAATGGTATTATAATTATTCATGACTGATAATAAACATGTATATTGATTTGTGTAACGAATAAATTTGTTAATAAATAAAAAGACTTATATTTTTTCTTTCACAGTCACAATTTTATACAGCATTATTGAACAAATTCAAAGGTTAAAAAAAACTAAAACAAAACTTTTCATTTTGCCTGGCTGCAGTATCGCTTTCAAATTATATAATTAAAAATTATCAATTGTTTACTTAATGATTTCAACGACAAGTAAATAAGTTTCTCCTGTATTTTTTGAGAGTTTTAATTTTTTATCACCTTGTAGAAGTTCAATCTTGAGCCCTATACGAAAAATTAAAGTTCTGTGAATAAAGGAATAAAAACAAATTTTAATGAGTTATTAAATGTTCGAGATAATCGATTGTTAATTACTCTTTGTTCTTAATCTACACAAAATTTATGTTAAATAAATAAAAGATTTTCCATTTCAGAATAAATAATAAAAATTAAACACTCATGATTTCATGTAGGATTTAGTGTATTATCAAAAATACCATCATAATACTTGTTTAAGATAAGCATTACTAACTGTTTTGAAGAATCCTGCCCCTATCAAATGACGAAAAGAAACGAATTTTCAATTTATTATTTTAATAAACAGTAACTTCATATTTAAAGTCATTACAATATTTCATTTCACAGTCATTCGAGTCTCGCAACGACAACGACGCACAATGAAAATCCTCGCTCTTTTCTTTGCCGTGTCGGCTGTCAGCTGCGTCTTCGCTTCAGATAGTGGTAAGAACAATCATCAAAATATTTCATTCTTAAAATTTTTAATTGCAGTTTATTAAAAAATTATTAATTCGTTTAAAGATGGGGTCGTTAATAAAGTAGTCGAAACTGTCGGAGTTAAAGATGCTACCTCAGTCGTCAAGTCTGGCAATGAAGGCGATGGTTTGCTCCAAGGACAGGCTGGTAAAGCTGTAGCTGGAGCTGGTCGCACTGCTCTTTCGGCTGTTAGCTTGAAAGGATTACAAGGATTGCTCAGTGGTGGAGGCAAATCGGGCAAAGGAAACCAAGGATTACTTCAAGGTCAGGCCGGGGAAGCCGTAGCTGGAGTTGGTCGTAACGCCCTTTCATTAGTTAGATTGGAACAATTGCAAGCACTGCTCAGTGGTGGAGGCAAATCTGGAAAGAAAAACCAAGGTTTAGTTCAAGGTCAGACAGGTGAAGCTGTGAGTGGAGTGGGCAATAATGTTCTGTCAGCTGTTAGTTTGAAAGGATTACAAGGATTGCTTAGCGGTGGAAAATCCTAAATGCAGGATACTTTACATCCATAAAATTAAGAACGCAATACATTTTAATTTTAATTCTATGCCTACAATTCTTCAGAATTCATACAAAATACACACATGAAACTGTAAAAATAATAAGCCTGAATAAAATATTGAGCGAAGTTATAAACAAAAAAGTCTTTTATCTTAAAATCTTCGAATATCATCGAAACAACCGTGCAGTCTATTTTTTAAAACAATTTAAATCTCCAACATTTTTGCACGCAGATGCTTCTAGACTTGTATGCCACTTATATAAACATTTTCTTAAGTTCAGATGTTCAAATTTCTTTGTAGATTTCTCAAAGTTAAAGAAAATGATTTCTACAGAAATGTATAAACTAGACAAACTCGCTGCGCTCGGACAAAAACAACTCCTAGATGAGTCATCTTCTTCACGCACTTGTTCAATAAGGAGAAGGGTTTTCTGGAATCGGGCAGAAATGCACATGGTCCCTAAACATGCGATTACATAACTATGATAATACAGTAGTTATTTTTGTAACTTCAAAAAATGTAAGAAAAATATAAGGATTAATATTTCAAATTTCGTTTTGTATTGCTACAAGATTTATCATTATCAAAGCTTTTGGATTCTATCAACAGATGGAGCATGGTAAATCCGCAAGTGACAAAAAAATTTCTGATTAGTATATATACTAACCATTTTCAAAAAAAATGTATCAAATCGAGACAATACGAGAAAGATATACTGTATATCTATCAAATGAACCCCTGAAGAGGGGGAAAAATTTTGGTCGGACCGTACAGTAAGTAGTTCAGTGTTAGACTGTAAATATCTGGCAATCGACCTAAATTAACGCTTCGTACATAGTGGATATATTGTCGATTCGTGGAAGACATCCGAAAAAAGCTACGCCTCCTCGTTATCCTATAGAGTTATAGAATCAGTACGACACCATCCCGAATTGTACCATTCACTTAAAGAGTTCTAAAAAGAACAGGCCGATGTTCAGATATGCGTTGCAGAGTTTGGCTTAAGACACGCTATTAAAAGAGCACCAAAACTGAAATGTATTGCTCAGCATGTCAAAATTAAAAAAATTGTACTTTATTATGAAACAACGTCAAATCAGGTCTAATAAAAAATCTTCGTTCGCTGTCTTATACTATTAATGTTTGTTAAATACTTGCAATTTTTATTTCAATAAATTTTTTATTATTTATTCATTTTCATAAAAACATTATTCTTTATGATTGATGTCGGGAAAAATACTTGTCGTGAAAGCGCAAGTGGGAGGTAACCGTATTGAATAGCCTTTTACAATTTTTAGTGATACTTATCAGGTCAATTTCATGAAAGGTATATTTTTCCTTCATTTCTGTTTCACAAGGTTTCTAAGAAACAAGCACTCTTGATAATTTATGAGATTCCTAAGATTAAACTCATTTTTACTTCACTGAGAGTAGTTGAAAAAAAATTAGCAACATTGATCAACGACCATCGTTTGGCATGTTTGGTCCGTTTATGAAGACATCTTAAGGTCCATGTGGTAATAATTTGTGCATTTAAACACCCTCACGCGAATTAATAACATAACGTACCCTGTTTCGTCGCATCCTAGACGTGGGTACCAATATAAGCATGCATTTAATATTAAAAAAAATTGTTTTAATATCACTAATTGTACAACTCGAATAGCAACAGTAGAACAGCTCCTCGACATTCGGTAAGTTTATGTGCTTTAAACATTTTTTGTATGTTTTATGAACTTTCTTAAGAAGTTGAATCGCGTTGAAGTTTCGACGTATAGTATAAACCATAGTAAGTAGTATTACTGATGTAAAAACTTTTTCTATATCAAATAATCTTACTTTACTGTAAGTACTCTTAAATTGGTTAGATTAAAAGAACATTTTCTTACGTATTTATGCAGATTTATTGAACACACTTTTAAAAACAATTTTTTGTTGCGTAAAATATAACATATTTCAAATACAAATCCACTCATTAATCAAAATATTTAAATTTTCCATTTTTTATCTCAAAAAGTTAATTGTTGGATTGAGCACCGGCTCCGCCCACTTGAACTGCTTTCACAGTACGTCCATTATTCTTGGACACTATTCCTTGGGCTCCTGCAGCGCCAGCTCCAGAAGAACCTTGACCATTTGATGCAGCTCCAGCTCCACCGATTTGAGTTGCTTTCACGGTATCACCTCTATTATTTTGAGACACTATCTCTTGAACTCCACCGGCACCAGCAACGGAAGAACCTCCACGACCATTCGATGAAGCTCCAGCTCCACCGATTTGGGCTGCTTTCACGGTATCCCCTTTACTGTTTTGAGCCACTATTTCTTGAACTCCACCAGCACCAGCGACGGAACCTCCCCGACCATTTGAAGAAGCTCCAGCTCCACCGATTTGAGCTGCTTTCACGGTGTCACCTCTGTTATTTTTGGATACAATTTCTTGAACTCCGCCAGCACCAGCAACGGAAGAACCTCCCCGACCATTTGATGATGCACCAGCTCCACCGATCTGAGCTGCTTTCACAGTACCTCCGTTATTTTTCGAAACTATCCCTTGAGCTCCAGCGGCTCCAGCTTGAGACGATCCACCGCGACCTTTAGACTGAGCAGCAGCTCCACCTCCTTGAACAAGTCCAACCGTGCGTCCATTATTTTTCGAAACTATTCCTTGAATTCCAGCGGCTCCAGCTTGAGAAGATCCTCTACGACCTCTGGACTGAGCAGCAGCTCCACCAGCCTGGACTGCTTCTACGGTGCGTCCACCATTTTTCGAAACTATTCCTTGAACTCCAGCGGCTCCGGCTTGAGAAGATCCTCTGCGACCTTTGGATTGAGCAGCAGCCCCACCTCCTTGAACGAGCCCGACTGTGCCTCCGTTATTTTTGGATACGAGACCTTGAACTCCGGCAGCCCCAGCTCTAGAAGATCCTCTGCGACCTCTAGACTGAGCAGCAGCTCCACCTGCCTGGACTGCTTCTACGGTTCGTCCGCCATTTTTCGAAACTATCCCTTGGATTCCGGCAGCCCCAGCCTGAGAAGAGCCGCCTTTAGATTGAGCAGCAGCCCCACCTCCTTGAACGAGTCCGACTGTGCCTCCGTTATTTTTTGATACTAGACCTTGAACTCCAGCAGCCCCGGCAGAAGAAGAGCCATCACGACTTCTTGAGTTACGTACTCGTTGAACTGAATCGTGAACAATTCTTGAATTTCCTTTGCCGCGGACTTCATGGGTTCTGACAACTCTTTCATCGTTATGATCACGATTTCGTTGATTTTGGCGATCTTCATGGCAGAACAAAATTATATTAATCTAATATTTTTCATATTTAAAATTAAAACAAGCTTATAAATACTTACGTTCGTGAGCCAAAGCACAGCTCACTGCCGCCAGGACCAGAATACAAGAGATGAATTTCATGTTTCTCCAAATGATTGGAACTGAAATGATAACTTTTCGGAATTACGAGCCGCTTATATACCGAAATTTTATTCATACGAATGAGTGCAAAAACAATGCATCAGAGTGTAATGTACTTTGTAATTGCATCATCGGCTTATCGGTAATATATTCTGTCTCGGTTTTCAATTTCTTATTGCATCTTAATTAAGATAAGAAAAATAAAACTAATAATAAATTGAAAAGTTTCATTATGCATATTTTAATCCTTTACTTATCTCAAGCAGTTTGGAAAAATTTCTGTTATGTCATTATCGCTGCGAAATCCCTTTCAGATCATCCCATTGTCTGAAAAATTAATTCAAATATTCCAAATAAAATGTTTCAATAAGTTATGTAATGGAAAAATTTTTCCTAATTTTAAGAATAATCTTTATTTTTCGTTACTATACACTTTTCTACGCTAACATTTTTGATGACTATTACGTTTAAATGTACGAAAAGATTAAAAAACTGTTTGCATGCCCACAGCTCTGCTGTTTCTTTGAAAGTATCTGAAAAGAACAAAAGATTATGATGGTTCGGACTTTGAGTAAAATTTCTCCTTACTGCATACAGGGTGAAATACTTTTAACTCAAAGACTTCAAGTTAATGCTGTATTTTCAATGACATCTTGAAAGTTGACTATTTTCAAATATAATGATTGAATAATTGAGCAATCTTCACAATTTAATGGAAATTATCACTTTAATTTCTTCTTACGTTCTATCATCTAAATTTCAAATTTATCAGCAAAATTGCCAAATATTTTCGAAATATTAGCCTAAAGTAAAAGCACCGACAAGTTTTACCTAAAAAAACAATTGAAATCTACAATTGTTACAAAAAAGCTTGAAGTCTGCGAATCGAATTTTATACTAAAATTTTTTTTTTAGGTGCGTAGAAAAAAAACATAAGAATATTGTTGTTTTTTCCATGGAATCTTAATATTTAGATGCATTATAAACTTTTTTTAGGTCTATATAATTTAATAATTAATTTTCGATTTAGGTCCAATATAATTTTTTTTTATCATTTATAATTAGATAACATTCATATTAACATAATTTAGTAGAAAACCCAGCTTAGTTGAATAATTTCGTATTAATTTTATAAAAAATAGTATCAATTCAAAGAGGTTTTTCACCGATGATGACATAAGAAGAATTTTCCAGATGTCGTTTTGATAAGTCATGTGAAAAGGTGCATCATTAATTAAATTTTCATAGTATTATTATTTTAACTTTCTTATCTTAATTATGATGCCAAAAAGAAATCGAACCCCGACGACGGTGAAAATACTGATAATAAGTCGATGCTGCAATTGCAAAGTACATTACTCTCTGATGCATTGTTCTTGAGTCATTTGTGTAAATACAATTTGGTATATAAGCGGCACTAAGTTGTGAAAAGTTATCATCATTTCAGTTCCAGTCATAGAAGGAAACATGAAATTCATTACTTGCATTCTGGTCAGTGGGCTGGTAGCGGCAGTGAGCTGCGCTGTATCTAAAAAAAGTAAGTATCTGTAAAATCGGTTCGAATTAAAGTACGAATCTTTCAAATGACCGTATCTTTCGCAAAGGTGAGTCTCAAGCCGGTGTGGCTGGACTCCAAGGACTGGTTTCTAGCGGAGATCTCGTCAAGGCCGTCCAAGCAGGTGGAGCTGCTGCTCAGTCCAAGTCTGGTCGGGGTGGATCCTCTGCCGCTGGAGCTGGTGGCATCCAAGGACTATCGGCGAAAAATAGCGGAGATGTCGTGAAAGCGATTCAAGCAGCTGGTGCGGCTGCTCAGTCTAGAGGTCGCAGAGGATCTTCTCGAGCTGGAGCTGGTGGAGTTCAAGGATTACTTTCAAAAAATAACGGAGGCACTGTCGGACTCGCTCAAGGAGGTGGGGCCGCTGCTCAGTCCAAGGGTCGCGGTGGCTCGTCCAAAGCTGGAGCGGCCGGATTACAAGGTCTTGTGTCCAACGCGAATGATGGTGTCGTAAAAGCCGTACAATTAGGTGCGGCTGGTGCTCAATCTAAATCTAAAAATTAAAATTTGTGGAAAATCTGAAAAAACAAAAGAAATGAAGTTATAATTTATCAAAGCGAATCATCATTCGTAAAAAAAATAATCAAACTTTTTCGTTGAAGATTAAATCAACTTGAGCTGTTTCGCAAACAATATGTATTTTGTTTCTATTATCTCGAGTAACAAATATTTAAATGTATTAATTACTTTAAAATAAAAAAGATCAAAAAAGTAAAATATTTTTAAATTTTTTTTCAAAAGATAGAAATTTATCAGAATACCTAATACATCTTATACCCATCTTGAAAATTGTTTTTATCATTCTATCTAACTGTTCAAAGACGGGAAATAAAATTCATCAATCGGTTTTGAGAAAGATCACTGATAGAAAAATACATTTCAATGCTCAGCGAAATGAACGACAAATTAGTTGTATTACAAGCACGTACATTATACCACACGTAAGCGCGCCGCAAATGGCCCGTGTAAGTGAGTCAGCTTACGGCTGAGTTTTCACCGATCCTTGAAGGCGTGAGCAACCTCGAGACTTTTTCGGCTTATATGGATAATTTCAGGAAGATCGAATGCAAGCAGCGTCCTGATATAATTTCTGTACGCTCTGCCTGTAGGTGTAAATGAGGATGAAGAGTGAATATAAATGAGACAATGTGTACCTTAATCTAGGTCAATTTTATGTCTGAAGCTTCGTTTCGCTCGTGTGAAGTCTTTGGGAAAAAAGTTCAACCAACTCAAAATTTTTGCAGGTTCGATAAAATGGCATTTTTATTGATATTAAAACTAAATCTTCATTAAAACATTCATTCGAAATTCACAATTTCAATTATCGAATTAACTACATTTCTTTAACCTGAAAAATTTCACTCAAAATTTCGATCTTCAACACACTGTAAAAAGCATTGCATAAAGGGCATCGATATAAACATATGACTAGATGTTGCAACCGTTAGAGATTTATATTAAAAATAAAAGTAATTTAAATACCCCAACGATTTCTCAGTCTACGGCTGATTACGAATTTCTTTACTCTACATTCGCGAGCAAATTTATATGAGGAGTTTTTTTAGTTATTTTCGTCTTCGTATACCCGACCAAGTTGATATTTTTAAATTGAGGTTTTCTCTAATCCGCCTAGTGTGAAAGTTTACGTTGCGACAGAAATTATTGATATAAAAAATTTTTCGAATCAAATTCAAAGGTGTAAGTGTATGCGTGTGCGCTGCGGTGAAGTTGTCCATTTATAGGTATGGCAATTAATGTCCCTGCGGAGTTATACCTTCTTTTGCACGAAAACGATGTCGGCGAACTCGACCGTGACATGTTTGCTCTTTCGTTGCATACAAGGAAGCATGAATTTTTTCTCTCATTATTTATAGAAAAAAAAAAAATTATTCCTATAGGTGGGTTGTTAAAATGAAGCTAAATATATATGTGTCGAGGCTTTTTTAGAAGTTAATGATCGGATCTTCATTAATTTTACCCATTACTTTATAACAATTAATGTGTGTCATACAATGTTGAACAACAAAGTATCAAATGATGAGACAAATATGACGAATAATATATTCAGTAAAATAAACAAACATGGCGCGATAAGGATTACAAGAAACCATTCATTTTTTGCATTCTTTATCGAACTCTAACTCGACATTGTATTCAATGATTGTTTAATGTGATTTGATTTTAGATACAAAGTATGGGCAATTAACGTACTCGAATCTGACAAAACCCAATGTCAAATGGAGATAATCTCTGTATTATGTTTTGTGAAATATTTGAACCTATTTTAGTAATTTTAAGTAGAGCACTACTATCTCGATACTCGAAACAGTTTAAAAATTAGATTTTAAGCATGGAGTGATTATTGAACTGAAGCGTATGTACTCGAGAATCAAAATTATCAATCCTATTGATTAATCCACATTATGTCAACACGCATAATTAATCTTATTGAAATGAGTCATACTATTTCGGTATTTGTAGAGTAATATTTTCAAGATTGTAGACTTGGTGCGAATGAATATTACAGTTATCATTTTCAGACTTATTGGAAAATTATTTATACAATCTTTTCTCGTCTATAAAGTGGCGGTGCACAGTCGATTTATGAAAGTAGAAGATGAGTGAACGCAAAAAAGACGTTGAAAATAGATCACTCTAATGAAGTAAAAATAAATTGATGTGACGTCTGTATTTCCGATCAAGCGATGTTGAACTCTCCGTAGTTTATACATAATTTGAAAAAAAATGAATGAATCTTGCAGAACTTGATTCAAAAGAATACATGTTAAATGATTTAAATATTTTTTTTTGGAAATAATATGTACTATTACGTTTTCGAAGCAAGCATTATTATTTGACAGAAGTTAGTCAAGTTTTTTTACATTCCTGAAAAATTAGACGATTTCAAATGATAATCGTGAAATCTCAACATTTTTGTCTCCTAAAATTGGAATATTGTGCATTAATTAACGATAGAATGATGCTCAACCCAAACGATGTAGCAAGTGCATGGCAATCGTCGCCATTATTAAGAGATGATCAAAAAATAAGAAAGCTCGAAGGCCACACATTATACCGAAGTAACAGGCGGGCAAACTACTTCTGTCGCAGCTCTTTTCGCGATCTTTTCTCTCTTCATCTTTCTTTTGCTCCTAAAAACCCCGAAGCCTATCTCGTACAGCTTCGTCAAGGCGAAGGTGGGAGGCGCGCCGATTTCGCGCCTGTGTGCGTGTGTGGAGTATAGTAAGTAAGCAGAAGTCGTCGAGCTTTTTAAACGTCGCGTCTACCAGTCGGCAGTCTAGCGCGCATTGGCACACGACTCATACACACGCTTTAGACCTCTCGCCTTTTTAGCAAAGGAACCCGATATCCGTTACAATAAAACTTTTTCACAAAGTTTTTTTGTCGATTTTCACCGTGAGTAACAATTGAAAAAAGAATTAAAATTATAACACCGATTGGTTTTCTGCTCGAGTGATCAAGTGTACGAGTGTACGTGGTTGAGTGCGTTAATTCAGTAATAATTGGTGATTGGAAAAATTCGACGCGTAAATAATAAGAAAAAATTGTGATTTGCTGATTTGTGCGCGCACGAGGATATTACAACGATATATTCAACGATATGTCGTTTGGCTGAATCGATGGCTTTATTCGTAGTTCAAAATTTGCTCAACAACAATTTCCTGGCAGTTTTTCAAACATCGTAATTTTTTAAAAGGCTTTTTGGAAGAAATAATAAGTTTGAATCACTCCGAAGACATTATAGTTAAATTCTATTTATACATCTCGTTTGCTTTAAGACCTTTGGATTTATATTTAAAATTTATTTTCATAAAATCATTTCGAATTGATAAAAATTTCAATAAAGCTCGTGAAAATAAAGTCCAAATTATGCCATGATAAAAATAAACAGTTATTTTGCTTCGCAAAAAAATTATGTGATAACATTCTTGATCGCAACCTAAATTTGGTTTCGTAAAACAGTCAAGTCTCAACGCAATGTCCGAGAGTGGATTTTTCATTTTAGTTTCGTGGTATAAATAGAATTTTCCAACAACGTTTCGTCGTCGTCGTCGTCGTCGTCATTACCGCCTCCTCCATTCGTCACCAGCATCGCGTTTAAACTGTGTTTTGAAATCTTTGATTTTAAAAAGTTTTTGAATCAACAAATATTTATCGAGCAACAGTGTAAACAAGTGAAAAAAGAAATAAGCTCGAGGAATTTTTTTTGTAAGCTCATAGACAAATTCGATCGGAGAGATATGTTGGAAACAAAATACGATTAACATTAGCATCAATTTTAATACGTCATTATTTAAGGAATGAAAGGAATCCAAGCAAGGAAAAATTTGCCATCTTTTAACTCAAAATGGCTCAAATAGACTTCAAACGTTCGAATTAAAACTTGCTGTTCTATTCGATAATCGAGTCAATTTTTATTTAATTTACATTAATGAATGAACGTATTCTCGTTGTATTTCAAGTGTACAGAACTTTATCTTGTACCGATCGAATTCTTCGATTTTATCGATCGATCGTTCGTCAACATTGCGATACATTTTTTATTGATCGGTAAATCAGCAGGCGAGGAACATCCGCACGAATTTGATCTATCTCGTCGAACGCAAAAGAGGCCTCGGACAAAATTCGCAACCGACTCGTTAGCGCGCGCGATGATACCAGTATTCTTTCTTTTTTTTGGCACGAGGGGTTTTTAAAATTAAACGCGCGTGGGATTATGTCATCGGAGACGCGCTTTTGCGAATGAGCGCAATATCCGGGATACTAAAATATCTCGGGAGGCTATTATTTTAAATCTGCGGTGTCTTTTCAAACTGCTAAATACGCGCGGGCGCGTAAACACGTACATAGAAGAGAAGATGAGAAAAAAAATATCTAGCGCTAAAAGTGCAACAAAGCATTAACCGAAGCACTCGTTTAATTAACTCATGGTACAAAGTATATATTACGTATGCGCATGGACTGTATCGTGCCTAGTGAAATCGCGTACGTGTTAAATCTACTGTAAAAAATAACTCGGATTACTCGCATACGAGTTTTCACAGATCAGAGATAATTAAAGCGTGAAAAATTTATAATTAAAAATTTAATTTTGTTCGCTCGCTTTCGAAAATATATTATTTATTGTTCAATTAAAATCTCTTTTACTTGCACGCTTAATTTCTTTAAAATATTCAGCAAACACGTAATAAATCGAACGTTCGAACTCGTTCGCGGAACCAATTCTAACAATCGTAGCCGTCTGCAAAATCATCAGAGCATTCGGCAGTACATTCGACAAAATAGATCATTCGATGGAAAAAAAGATTCGCGCGAAAAACCTCTTCTGGCATCCAGACGCGCGTTACAGTCAAAAAACTGGAGCATCGGTAAACGGCATATATAAGTTTTAACCGTGGGGTGACTGCATTTCGCGCTCGCAGAAGCTAAAACCTTCCGCTATAAATAAAAGCTCGCGCGCAAGCGGCCGGTCGCTTATACTAATTATACACTACTCCTATACGGCCGACGCGCGCGCGCGTGTGTGTGTGTGTGTGTGTGTGTGTGTGTGTGTGTGTTTGTATGTATGCGTGCGTGCGTGTGTGTATTTGTGCGTGTTTGTGTATTTTGCTTCTGTTTTTTTTTTTATTTATACGTCTGTACTTTTTTGACTATGGGAATTTATCATCGGCCAAGTATACTTGTCCACGTATTTCGCATACTTGTTCGGAATGTTACTAATAATAATTGCTTCGGATTTTCGAATGTCGAGAGAGAATGTGCACGAGCTTTTTGCTACGAAGATAGTAACGATGATAGATTTGCGAGAGAAGGAAACAAAAGGGAGTAAATATGATTGTAATGCCATTTTGGTTCGAAATGAAAGATGTAACTATTGAATATACGATAAGTTTGAAGCTCAACTCGACTGCCAGAAATAGACGTTCTTAGCTTTTATAGCTCGTCTTGTATATTTTGCCGAAGATGTTGATTTTAAACGAATGCCGTTTGGTATTTGTGTCCCCCAATGAAATCTGTAAAAAAAAAAAAAAAAAAAA